ACCCCGATGAAACCATGTCCTTGGCTGTGCATTTGGGTCACTTCTTTAGTGAGATGGAGCTGGAAATGTAGGAGAACTTTACATAGAACTCGGTTACAGCTACGCATAGTTGTGTTCGTGCTAATGATGGTATCAGCTAACCCTGTTATCTCTACAAGGTCCCTCCAAGTATTGTGATCACTGTCTGGACAGAGAGGACTGCACTATTGCAGTCAGGATTCTGGCGTCCAGAGGGGCAGACCGGATAAGCACATCCCCCATGATGTTTTAACAAGTCGAACATTTGTGGACACCCCTCCTGTTTCATGTGCCAACATATATAATTACAAGTACCCATGAACATGTAAGTAAGTATGTGCACGATACTCATATGTGAGTGAAACAAGCATTTACACACCTGGGTTAAAGTTCCACATCTTCTATCTATTCATTGTAAGACCTAGGGCAATTTTTAATTCTCTCTGATGCTCAGGTTTCTCCTCTTAAAAGAATACCTCTCTCACAGGGTTACTGTATTTCAAATGTATTTGAAACCTCTTTATAAATCAGAAAACTTGATTCAAGAATGTAAGTGATGGCATGTATATGTATCTATGTATAACGCACATACTGTAACAGCCCGGTTGAAATTTTTATCTTGTTACTTCTGTCCATGTTTTCACAAACTGCAAGTGAGATTTCTCCATCTCTCCTTGTCTGCTCCTGGAAGCACATTCCTTGGGGAATGATATGAAGGCTATGCTTTGGAGGATGTTTGCCTTATTTTTGATGCTCAGGAACAATGTGCTTTTGTGAAAAGGCATTAAATAGTACAGATGATTGGCAGCATTAAAGAGGAAATCTTCCAGATGCCACCTCTATCAGACTGACATGGGGATCAGATGAAGTCACATCTTTATCAAAAGTTATCCTCCCAGGCTTGAGGGCTACCTTCCATGGAGGGCAGCACGTCCAGGCACTTTCTGTAGGTAACAAGCAGTGTGGGGGATGCCTGAGGGCCCAGAATGTACTCTGGTGGGAAAGCCCAGAGGGGAAGGTCATCTCAATGCCATAGGAAGAACATAAAAATGAGAACATTGACTTCTCTCTTGGTTCCACCCACTTTGGGCAGGTTGGATCTTCTCTGATCCTATTTTCCTATCTGCACAATGATGAAAAAACAATATCGTCCTGACAGCCCCCCTGGGGTTGTCAAGGGGACAGTCTGCGTACAGCATAGGAAAGCACTTTGCTACCAATATAGGTTACAACTTAGGATACAGTTAGGCCTTGGGAGCCTGGTATCTGATTATAGAATCACTTAGTTCCACTTTCTCAGAGGTTTAGCAACACACTGGTGGTCACTGTGTAGGAAAAATAAAACTGGGTAGATTACTAATGGGAAATGTGTTCTCACGGACAGGAAGGGGTGGCAGCAAGGCCAGAAACAAAGAGAGCTTTCTCCCGCATCCACCATTGGTCGTGAACTGGGAAAGCCGAGCTAGACATGGAGCAGAGCCACCTGGTGCTCATTCCACGGGGTGATTGGGTAACCAGATTCTTGGCGCTGTGGCCCCAAGTGGTTACACTTCATCCATCTCTTGGCGCATTAATATCACAGCTTCGGGGGAGGGAGGGACGGGTGAGAAGGGAGAGAGGCCCCTTTGACAATCCCTTTCTCCGGCTGGCCAAGAGACCAAGTCCAGCCAGAAACTAAAAGCACAGACAGGAGACCCCACTCCCCACCTATGTGAGCCCTGGATCTTGAGCAGGAGAGCTTCAAGATGATGATACGATGACAAGGTGATGCTCCAACCCCCAGTCAATAACGTGGGCCTTTCCTACACGCGTTCACACAGGGCTGGTGGGCCTGCCCTACCTGCCTACATCCAGAGCAACCACATCCCCCACACCATCTTCCATCTCAGCTCATTGGAAACACATCTGCCAGGGAGACTTTTCAGAGGTTATCAGGAGCGACCCAGAGAGAGGAGCTGAGTGCAGTAAGCACTGCGCCTTTGTGGCTCGGTGACTGGGCCCTTCCCCTGGGGCCTCCTGGCAGGGAAGGCAGTGTTGGCTCTTATTGGGGGAATTTGAGCCACTTTGCCTAGCCTGGGGTGAGCAGGAGAGAGGTGTGGCCAGACAGGAAGACGGGAGCCCTGTGCCTCTCAGAGTCCAGCCGTTGCACTGAGGGGCCTCAGAGGGGCCTGGAAAGTCTCCAGACTTCAGCCTCTAAAGAAATAAGGGACTTCCTCGCCGAGGGGTCTTCACAAAAGAGTGATCCACGGTGGTTAGATGCCTGAAATGTCCTGTAAGGTGGGTGCCTGGGACTTACTGCTGTCTGACGTCTGTTGTGTTCACCTCGTGCCTCCTGAAGTGTGGAAGGATCCAGAGCCCTCGCAGAAACTTCTGGCAGCTGAGCTAGAAGTTTCTCTCGAACTGCAACACGGCCCACAGGGCCCCTTCACTACTGCCGGCCGGGCTGGGCTGGAGTGCCTTGCCCAGGAGAGGCTGCCCAGTGTGCCTGGGCCCCAACCCCCACAGACCAGGTACTGGGTTGATGGGTATGTCTGTGTATTTCTGCTTAAGGATGGGAGGATTGGTGTTGAAAGCAAGTCCCCACAGCCTGGTGCTACCCAGCTGGCCTAAAATCCTCAGGGCAGCAACCACACTGCCCAGACCCAAACTTAGGGTATAATTGTCTGACAAGTATGAATATGAATATATGGGGAGCAGGCGGCAGATTATTTGATATGAAGTCTTTGATCAAGGAACTCAAGGGCTTGTGATTTTCCCACCTGTTGAGCAATCTGAGGCCAAAAGCTGTGGGAACTGGATAGACTCGGAAGACGAGCTGCCCCATTACAAGCTGTGTGACCTCAAACAAGTTCCTTAGCTTCTCTGGGCCTCAGAACGTCCAGCAGCAAATGAATAAAATGGGTGTAATAATCATGTCTCTATCACTAGACTATTGAAGAATCAAATTTAGATAATACTTGTGAACATGACTGCGACTAGTTTTGCTACTATTTCCAGCTACATAACTACATAACCTTGAACAAGTAATTTCAACTCTCTGGGGCTGTGCTTCCTAGGAAATGATGGGACTGGATTTCCAAGAGTCCTTGGCAGCTCTAACATCCTCTGCTATGACCCAAGAGAACTATGAGCTTCTAACAGTTTTATGAAGGCCAGGCTTGGGTGCTGCATGGTCCCCCTTTCTAAATATGGCCCCAGTCCCTACCCACTCTCCCTTCCTCTCAAGGAGCTCTGCAATTCTCCTGGAGAGCGAGCCCAACTGTGTCGATTGCAACAAGAGCTGTGACATCGAGGTGTCAAGGTGCAACAGGGAGCTTTGGCTTTGGACCTTTTACAGGATATAAGAAGGCTCAACAGCCCTGGATTCTCAGTGCTCCCAGCTCCTGCTCATCTGCCCCAACTGGGAGTAACTAGAGGTGGAAATGAGCAGACCTATGTGAGTATCAGGTCTGTTACTCACTGGCTGGGAGGCCCTGGAATCTTGTTTCACTTCTATAAGCCTGTTTCCTCCTGGAGCTATGACGCTATTCCCTCATGGGGACATTCTTTAAGATTAAATGAAACAATGTCTATAATGTGCCTGGAGCAAGAAGCAGTAGTTGTATGTGTTGTTACTGCCCATCATCAAAGACTATTTCCTGTTAAGTGTTAAATTTTCATTATCACTACAGTCAGTGACCATAATGGGGATCGATGCCAGCAGTTTCAGTCTCCTTCAGCCCGACAAAGGAGGCAGGGGCCGAGTCCCATTCAGGCATCAGCTTTCTGCAGCCCTGAATTTGGATATCAGATAGAAATAAGACCCCAAGCATTATCATCCTGCTTACGCCACTGTTCCTTAATAACTTTGACTTTTCTCTGGGCATAGAAAGCTAAGGCCGGACATTTCTCAGGTTTGTTCCCAAAGAGAGGTCCCTGACTCTGCAAATTGCTCCAGGTTCCCCCATGGGAAGGGGCAGTGGTGGCACCAGGCCTCTGTGTCTGGGGACTAGTGAAGTTAATGAGCTGCTATTTTTGAGCCCAGTAGCAATCTCAGCATGAATCTGAGTCGAGAATGGGCACAAAGGGGCATTAGGAGAGCGCCACCTAACTGGAAACAGGACCGCCTCCTCGCATCACAGGGGCACGTCCCATATGCTTCTCCTGCCTCCTTCACCCAGCAAATAAAATACTGAGTTTCCTCTAATCTATTTATGCTCAGGAGCAGCAAGGGCAGAGAGAAAAATAAGATGCAAAACCTTTCCCTCTTTCCATGTGCCTCCATCCTGGCTTCTCAGAAATCTCCAGGCTCAATAAACTCAATTGACAAAGATAGTGAAAAAGGAAATTTTCCACAGAAAAAAAATGAGAGGCCAAGATGATTCCAGTCCCCTTGGTTCTTTACTTTCCAGATACCACACACCGAGAGCCTTGTTTGAGAATGTATTATGTATTATCTTACTTTTATCCTCTCAACAATGCCACAAGGTGAGTGTTCTTGTCAGATCCATTTTACAGAGGAGGAAATTGAGGTGAGAGGATTAAATAACTTGCCCAAGGTCACACAGCTGCTAAGTGGCGGGGCCTGGGTTGGACCCGAGACCTACTTCATAATCACTAGGGGAATTCCTCTGGGAGCCGATGAAAGCCAGAACAGGGTAACAGCAATTTCCTAAACATTACCTCAGTTCCCTCAGCCCTTTAAAGAAACCCTATTGAACATCTACTATGAGCCAGATGCTTTCACATTGATCATACTTTCTTTAGTCCATATGCCAGCCTCATCTACAAGGTCAATATTTTCTCTGCTTTGCAGAGGAAACTGAGGCTCAGAGAAGTCAAGCAGCTCCCCAGGTCACACTGCTACCAGTGGCAGAGCTGGGCTCGGCAGCTTGCTCTTGGGGCTCTGAGGCCCGAGCACTCTCTCCCGACGCTGCAGTGGCTGGAGCAGGCAGCTTCCTGGTATTGGTTGTTTTCTCTCTCCCTTCCAGGGAGGATTCAGCATGTGCTCTGAGACGGGCTCCAGGTGCACGGGCATGCTGCTCTTGGCCTTAGCCACCGCAGCCATCATTGCCAACCTCCTGCTGTACTTTCCCAATGGCCAGGTGCTGGAGCCGGCCAAGATCACAGACTTGGTGTGGTTTTTCCACGGCTTTCTTGGAGCTGGACTCTTGGTAAGAATGAGGCTACCTTACCTCCTTCAACTGAAGGGCATCCCTAAGCTTCCCTAGGCAAAATTACAGGGTTGGCAAACTTTTTCTGAGAAGGTCAAATAGTAAACATCCTTCAAGTCACAGAGCAGTCAACTCATCTTGGGGCCACCTTCCCTGGGCTCCTAGAGCATGGCTGGCTCCTCCTCCTCCACACCCCACAACATGTGGGCCATAAACACCCTCTACATTGGCGCTCGGCACATCACGCTGCAAGTATCTGTTTATGTGCCTGGCTCCCCCATCAGGCTGTGAGCTCCTCAAGAACAGAACCCAAATCTCATCCACCTTTGCCCTCTAAGTGACTACCTAGCAAAGTGTCAGCTTAGACTAAGCTTAATACCTGGCTGCTAATTGTGTGAAAGATACACATTATAAAAAGCACAAAAACTGAGTATTTGTCAGGCTCATCAGGCTTCAAGATGAACATCTTGAAAAATAAATTGTGTAGCTCCATCCAAGCTTCCCTAGGCAAAATTACAGGGTTGGCAAACTTTTTCTGAGAAGGTCAAATAGTAAACATTTCCAACTTTGTGGGCCATGTGATCTCTTGTTTCAATACTCAATTTTAATGTCATAAGACAAAAGCAGCCATAGAGAATATGGAAACAAATGGGCACAGCTATGTTCCAATAAAACTTTATTCATAAAAACAGACATCCTGCTGGATTTAGCCCACAGTTTGTAGTCTGTTACCCCCTGAGGTAGACACTGAGTGTTTTCCTTCCTTTCCACCTTTGTTTTCATTTGGCTCCTCCTCTCCCGGGTATCCAGTGCTCCCTTATGAAAAAATCTTTTGTTTATGTGATGCCAGGCACTGCGTAGGTGCTCAGCTAACAGACGGATGAATGCACGGTGCATAAAGGACCCTTAGAAAAAGGTGATCACCTCCCTTCCTGTTTCTTCTCCCCACCCCGTAGTAGATGCAGTGATGTCTCACGTTGCACCCAATGACAACCGCCCCTCCCATCATGGCAGAGGCTGGGTCTTCCTGTGCAAAAGCACATCTAGATCAGCAACACCTCGGCAAAGGTCGTCCGTCTCAGCTCAGAGCCCTTCCTGAGAGGCGGCACAGACCTAGGAGTCTAACAGACCCTGCTCAAGTCATGAGTCTGCCCCTGACCTGCCGTGCCACCTGCCTGAGCTTCAGCAAAAGGAGAATCATACCATCTTACGAGGAGGTGGAGCACATTAAATGAGATAACATTTATACCGCGCCCCACACACAGCTGGCAGCCAGTAAAACGCAATCTGTCCTCTTTCCTGGCTCAGATTACCAGCTCCTCCAGCTTCTCTACCTCCGCAGATCCAGCCAAGCACCTACCCAGCTCATTTCTGCCAGCTGGGTCTGCATTTCTCAGCTCCACCGCCAAGGAAATTCCCTAACTTATCCTCCCTCTCGTCATCTGCAGAACATACAGGAACATCAGCACCCAACTTCTCTTAAGATGTGCATGAGTAAATACAGCAGCTATTGAAAGGAATCAAGCAGCTTGAGGAAATTTAGTTTCCTAATAGCAGGCTCTCAGACATTTATTGAAAGAGAGTGACCCAGAGGGAAAACATTCCACGGTCTGAGGAGAGCAGAGTGGAGCCTGGCTCAGGCAGGGACCAGACACCCTGTCTCCAGAGCATCCCTTGTTACCAGCCGGCTCATCCAACCCTCGCTCCAGCTTTCCAACAAAACCTCCAGGATCTCCCAGAAAGATGGTTACATTGGATCTTCACAGCGAAATGGAGTTAAAATAAACAGGACCAAACCAGTGCCTGAGGCAGGATAAAGCAAAAACCGATGAGCAGGTCCTCCTTCTCCTCTTTCTTTCCTTTCTGTTTCATTCATTCTTTGTTCAGCCAGTCTTCAGTGTCCACTCTACACCTTTACACATGCCTGGCTCTAGGGTAAACTGAGGCAGTGGCTGTGGGATTGGAAGAGGAGAGTGCATTGGAGTCCTATGAATGGGGGTAGTGGGGCAGCAAACAGCAGTTCAGCTTGGCTCTGGCATTTTGGCCCAGGCACCTAGGGAGATGGAGGGGCATTCTCTGAGGCAGGGACCTCTGGGGGAGCTGGGAGGGAGGCAGAGGTTGAACTCCATTCCACATCCCCCTGAGGGATCGGAGGATGGTTGAGCAAGGACTAGAGACCAGGAGACAGATGAGATTGAGAGGACGGGGAACCCCAGGAGTAGTGGATTTGTCCAGGGCTCATGAACAGAATGAGAGGAGAAAGGAACCCAGGTCAAAACCCAGGTGACAGTGCAAATTGAGAGGTATGCAGAAAGGGGGAAGCCTGAGAAGGAGACTGAGAAAAAAGCAGCTGGAGAGAGATAGGCAAAGCAGAAAAGAGGAAAGTGAGAAAAGCTGAGGAGGGAGAAAGTTCCAAGAAGGCGTGAGGAGTGGCCGTGTCAATTACAGCAGCAGGGACACGAAGCATCTGATGCACAGGCAGGGGCCTGGGGGTTCTTGGCAAGAGCAGTCCCAGCGGGGAGACAGGGCTCCAGACTGCAGAGGGCTGAGGAATGAGTGCAGGTGAGGAACTGGGCTCCAAAAGGAGGAGGAAAGGATAGTAGGCCGAGCCGCCGCCCTGGTGCAAGAAAGGCCAGCACAAGACGTCAAATGCCGCAAGGGACATTTGCAGGCAGTAACAGGCACAACCACTCATTTAGCATCAGCTCCATGCAGAACACTGTTTAAGGATGTATAGGGGATAAAACCAGAATTCACAGTCCTGCCCTTTAATAGTAATTGTAACGGGCATTTGCATGAAGGTTTAGAGTGTATTAAATGCTTACACATATGATTTCATTTGCTTCGTGTAACAACTTTGTGAGGGGGAATTGTTATCTCCATCTCACGGGTGAGGAAATGAGGCCCAGGCAGGTTCAGTCATTTGACCACAGCCACACAGCTAGCACGGAGCAGATTAGGACTTAAACACTGTCTGAGTCCAAAGCCTGTTCTCTCTCCATCTCTCCACCGTCTGATGCCGCATGTGCACACTCAGTGCAGGCCACGGGGAAAGACGGAAGCAGGAAGCTGAGCCAGCAGAGGCCTGCCCCACACCATGTCCTGGCGAAACAAGACGTGCAGGAGCCTGGGAGAGCTGCTGCAGACAGTGCTGCTGTTCAGATGAAACAGAAAACCAGGGCCACGTGAGTCATGGCCTCCCCTCTCTCCCCACCAGGTTGACAGCCACTCGGGAGCTGAGTTTCTCCAGCAGTCACGGCCACGGTGGGTACAGACATGTCCAGCAGCACATCGTCTCCCCAGTCAGGGGGTCCCCTGCAGCCTCCCCCTATTATTGCTGGAAAGCAGCCTCGTGACATCAGCAAGCTTGTTGTCTCAGCAAAGTCAGTGCCAAGAGTAAAAGCTCTCTATTTTCATGGAGCCACAGGCCAACCCGGAACTCTGGTCCGGCTTCTGTGCTTAAAACTGGGCATCTGGGACAAGCATACCATAAATCGAACGGGGTCCTCCAGGGACTGAAACAGAGCTGCAATTTCTTTTCATATGTAACTAATGACTATTTTCCAGCAATATCGTTTGCAGACTCAGCAAGACCATTAGGAGGGACAGCTTAAGACTAGTTAACGGTGTGGTTTGAGATCACGCAGGTGCCTGATTGGGGATAGAGGGGCTGAAATAGGTGGGAGTCTGCCGGACTCAGCAGAGACGGTTCCTATGCTCCTTCAGACCAAGGAGATGGATGGACAGACACACAATAATTCAGCCCCGTGGGGTGAGTCCCTGCTCCAGTGGAGGCCTGGGGTCAGCAAAAGAGGAAACAATTAACTCTACCTTTGGGAACCAAGAGGGGCATCTCGGAGAAGAAGGTGTCTGAGCTGTACTGTACAGAATTAGTAGGCACTCACCAGGCGGAGAAGGGAGGAGGGCGCTCCGCGCAGAGGAAGCAGTCTGTGCAAAGGCATAGGAGCAGCGCAGAGCCAGAGGCGTTCACGGAAACTCTGCAGCCTGGTGTGGCTGGAGCCAGAGCTGCTTCAGTGAAGAAGTGATAGGAAATGGTGTTCAAATACCAGCAGGGACAAAATTCCGTATAACTTTGTATACCATGCTGATGAGACAGTTCTGACCTTTGAGTGGTTCCCCTGCCAAATATTTATTGAGCACCTGTTATGTGCTAGCATTGTTCTAGGCGTTAGGGACACAGCAGCGAAAAAAAACAGCAAAATTTCTGCTCTCCTAGGGCTTACATTCCAGTGGGGGAAGAGGAAGACCACAAACAGCCAACTGTGTAATATAACATCAAATGGTGAGTGCTAGAAAGAAGATAGAGAAGAGGAATAGATAGACAGCAAAGTGCCATCTGAGGAGGTGGTGTTCCAGCAGCCACTTTAATCGAAGTGAAGAATAGGCCATGTTGATATCTGGGGGAAGAGCATTCCAAGCAGAAGGAACGGCACATTCGAAGGCCCTGAGCTGGAAACGTGCTTGATAGTTCCAGGACCAGCAAGAAAACTGCTGTAGCTGGAGCCAGGTAAAAGAGGTTTGGCAGAGAGTCTGGGAAATGAGGTTAGAGAGAGAAATAAGTAGCCACTGGAATTTTTTAAGCAGGAGAGAAGTGCAACCAGGTGCCATCAAGTTACAACAATCCTGTCCACTGCATTCTGACCCCCACCTGGGAGCCTGGCTTGCTCTAAGTACCAAGCTCTGCTCCCAGCAAGGTGCTTGTAGAGACTCTCAGCACCCACTCTTCTAGGGCGGTTCCAACAGCTCTCATTTGTCAGCCCCAAACTTGTACCCACACCACACAAAGTCTCCAACTGGTCCTCCCATTTGACTCAGGGCAGCTTTGGGGCACCAAGGACCCAACATAAGAACAGAAGAATCAGTAATTCCTGGTGCCAGAAGGCTCCATCAGAACTAGAAAAAGAAACTCAAAAGAGAGAGCATTGCACTGTCTTCGGGATACAAGTGTACAGGGACCTGAGGCCCAAAGTTGCCCAGAGTCATCCCTCCAGGGAAGCCAGGGGTCCTGGACCATCTCTTCCCACCTGGGAGGTTCTTGTCAGCTCTGATTCCCAGCACTTAGTTGCCTACAGATGACTTTGAGAATCTGAGATTTTTGTGAAAATACTTGATTTAAAGAAATATGTTTCACCGAATAAGTGGGAAGTACACAGGCCCATCATGCTAGTCAAGCTTTTCTAGAAAACTTTAATGTGCTTTATTCATGCAATAAAACAGTTCAGACACACAGTCATTTTGTAATTTGCATGAGGTCTGCAGGAAGCATCAGCAGTTCTGATCTTTGAATAGGCTTCTCCCTTGGGGTTAAGAATTCAGCTGTTTGGCCTAATTCATATCAGCGTTTGGAGGAAAGAAAATAAGGAGACCAGGACAGAAAAGGGAAGGAGAGGGCTGGCAGGCTCTTAATAACTGTCTTCCTCTCCTCTCTCACTTCCTCTGCCCCTAGAGCAAGAAAAGGCTCCCACAGCAAACTTCCCAATTGAAAGGCAAAAATCCTACTCTGTTGAAGACATCTCGGAACTGAATTCTTGAACTGGAAAGAATCTTAGATGTCAATATTGTAATTCCCTTACTTTATAGATTTAAAATAGAAGCCCAAGCTAGATCCAGGTCATCGAGCTAGTGTATGGCACAGCAACATTTGAATGCAGATCTCTGGGTTCTCATCTCTTGACGCTTAAAAGATGCCCAAGACAGAGGACAGTGGCAGCTCAGAGAGGCAGTGCCTTTGTGCGGTGAGTTCTGGCCATGGTCTGATGGGCAGCATTGCAGATCAGGAACTCTGTTTTGTCTGGGCACAAAGTAAAACCTCTCAAGGACCCTGAACCACACTAACCAAACTCATCAAAGCTTGACTGATAAATCAAAATGTCACTGTATTTATCTCAAGAAGAAACACTCCTGCCAGGAAAAGAGAAAACAAATGCAGGACCTCCTCTCCCCTGACTCCATGGGAAGAGGCATGCAGAGTGGTGGGAGCCAAAGAGAGCTGGGTTTGAAACCAGGTTCTCCCGCAGGCCAGCTGCGAGATCTTAGGCAACCCGCTTTGTCTCTCTAAGTCTCAGCTTCTCCCTCTGTAAAATGGGGCTATCAATAGTAGCCCCCCACTATGGTTATGATGAGCACTGTGTGAGATGGCATAGAAAGGAGCCAGTCCCTAGCCTAGCTCCCGGCTGGTGCTTGCACAATGGCAGCTCTGAGAGGACTGGAGCAAGGGGGTGCTAAATCATCCTTGTACCTAGTGTTAGGGCATTGTGGTGGTCAGATGCACTCATTTCCACTAGAGAGAGAGCTGATCACAAGGAAAGCTCAGCACACTCTTCCCCAGCACAGTGGACACACTGCCAAGTCCTAAAACTATGGTTCTCCTTCTACTAGATGCCTTCTAACTGCCCTAGCCCTCATCAAGGCTCCACCAAGTTTGCAAACCAGCTGGGAGTTGACTCAAGTTTGTTTTGTGCAGAGTCGGTTTGTTTTGCTTTCGAGTGAATTGGATACCTTTAGGAGGGGTGTGCCCCCTCCAGTTTCCCACAGTCCCCACCGCTCCCTATTGTGTTACACCAGGACACTTTTTCTTGCTTAAAAGTACCTGCCTAGCCTCTAGAGGCATGTGGGTTTGCACCTCCCACCTCAGACTATCAGGTGAAAGAAGACATTGGGTAGATAACAATCATCTTTAGCAGGGACCACATACCAATCATGCATTCCCCGGGGTAAGTCTTGGTCATCTTGGTGACAACTGGGGATTTCCCAGATGCTTGCATCAGCAAATGTATTTACCGACCATGGCTCAGGTGAGGTGATTTTTTTCATAAAGTTACATTCATCCATCACGTATTTATTTCTTGTTCCTGGACCATGGCCCTATCCTGGCAGTGTTCTTTCTCCTACCCCACACTGCCAGAAGAATCATGGGAGAATGTCATCACAAACGTGACCACCGTATTATGGGGTCCTGAATCTGTGTGGGGCTCTGTGAGAAGAGCTGCTGACCCAGAGCTCAGTGCCTAGTGGGGAGAAGGAGAATGCAGTGCTCAGAGCAAAAGGACAGACTGGCAGGCAGGAAGGAAGAATTCATTTTGCCTGGTGGACGTCACTGAAAACTACAAAGAGGAGGTGTTAGTTTCCCACAGCTGCTGTAACAAATTACCACAAACTTGGTGACTTAAAACATCAGAAATTTATTCTCTCACAGTTCCGGAGCCAGAAGCTCTAAGTAGACGTATTGGCAAGGCCCCACGTTCTAGGTTCTAGGAGAAAATCCATTCCCTGCCTCTTCCAGCTTCTGGTGGCTGTTGGCATCCCTTGGCTATGAACACATCACTCCAGTCTCTGCCTCCATCTTCAGTGTCTGCCTCTGCCTTCTCCTCTGTGTATCTGTCTCTCAAAACTCCTGCCTCGCTCTTATAAGGACACATGTGATTGCGTTTAGGGCCCATCCAGATAATCTAGGATAAACTCCTCCTATTAAGACCCCAACTTAAGGGTCCGGTCCGGTGGTGCAGCGGTTAAGTGTGCACGTTCAGCTTCGGCAGCCCAGGGTTCGCCAGTTCAGATCCTGGGTGAAGACACGGCACCGCTTGGCAAGCCATGCTGTGGTAGGCGTCCCACATATAAAGTAGAGGAAGATGGGCACAGATGTTAGCTCAGGGCCAGTCTTCCTCAGGGGAAAAAAAAAAAAATCCCAATTCAAGCATATCTTTTGTCTTATAAGGTAATATTCACCGCTCTTGGGACTAGAAAGGGAATATATCTTTGGGGGGCATTTGTTCAGCCTACCACAGGAGATAACATTTGAACTGGCCTTTTGAGGGTGAAGAGGAGTTTACCTGATGGCAAAGGATGAAGGGCTTATTCCAAGGCCCAGAGGCAGGAAAGTCCTGGGTCTACGCCAGGAGCCATAGACTGGTGTGTCAGGAGGTCTCAATGATGGAAGAGAGGCGAGGCTCTGGTGGCGGAGCAAGACCAAGGCATGAGGGGCTCATGTACAATGTCCAGGGCCTGCATTGTATCCTACAGGCCATGAGGAATCATTAGACATAAATAATAGTTAAATAGAGACACAATCAAAACTTTATTCCCAAAAGGTAACATTCCTTTTATTACAAGAGCATTTTCTTTGCCACAGGTGATGGTGCCAGCGCTAATGTTGCTGAGAGGAGATGGAGACGGCTGCTGTGCTTACAGATGTGGGGTAGGTACTGTGGGGTCTATAGAATGTTTAAGCTGCCACCCACCCTCACCCCCAAAGGGTGTATTCCTAGGCTGTGTGCTTTCTCTCTTCGAAGGATAGACTATTGACCAATATCTAGTACTTCTAATACCCTCCTTGTAGAGTGCAGTGATATTATGCAAGGTTCTAGCCAACAGAGACGGGGTTGCTGCATGAGATCGCAGGAAAAATGAACCTGGTGAGCGTGCAAAGAAAGCCATTTGCTGTGGACACAAAGCCTACCAGCTTTGGTAGACCAGCTGGCTGGGGTTTGGCTGTTTGTGTTTCTACCTGCCTGTCTGTCAGTGGGAAGGTCAAGGACGCTCTCATCCTTTGGCTTTCCTATTTCCCCAGCAGCCAGTGAGGTAACACATAGAACTGGTATGCAAGCAATAAAGGACATTGGAAATTGTATTCTCAGAAACACTGTCACAGATATTCTCTTACAGTGGCCCGGTGAAGTACAGAAGGCTGACACTCTATAAGTTCATCCCTTATGTATTTATTTTTTGTTCCTGATCTTGTCCCCAATCACAGCAAGCTGTCCACTACTCTTACATTTCTAGTTCATACACCATCTCACTTCTCTTGTCTGCTCCAAAATTTGCCTTTCCCAACCCTTACAGCTTCCAATCAGACTCTCCACAGAGACCTCAGCCCCCAAGTCGCCTGAAGACCATCTCCAAGGTGCTCCCTGAGTCACTCATTCCATTCAGCTCCAGCCATCCCCCTCTCTCCTTCCCTGTGGTGAGAAAGGCACAAAATGGATGTGTCAGGAATAAAAACTCATGCTTTGAGAGAAACAAGTCCCTCAGCTTTGCCCTGGTTCAATAATGCGCTAATATGCCAGAAGGTCACCTTTCCTTGACACTTGCCTCGCTGTCACACTCACTCACCCACCCATCCAGTCAACACATATTTACGGAGTTTGTACACAGCGCAAGGCCCTGTGTTGGTTTCTGACTCAGGCATTAGAAAAACGATTATTCATTTACTCACCCAACCATACAACAAACATTTACTGAACACCCACCACCAGGATGGCAAATAGGTCTCATTTAGAGCACAAACACCAACTGATCAGTCACACCGCTTTAAGAAGGACTCTGAGACTTCACCCAGGCTTGAAGGGGAAGAGTGCTGGGATCAATTACTGATGTCTGCCATGAGTGCAGGTAAGGAGACTGGCAGCACACTTACTTTATGTGCCAGGCAGTGTGTAGGCACTGGAAGTTTAGTGGTGAATAAGTCACATTTCCAGCTCACAGCTTTTTAGTGGAGAATTTCACTCTTCAAATTGCAACTGGGGCAGACGAATGGGCAGAGGGCTTCTGAGCGCTAGTACCTCATTTTCTGTACATTTGAGAAGCAAAACCAGGACAACTACCCAGGCCAGCATGTACAAGAGAAGATTCAGACCCTCTTCACTTTGCCAGAAAACTCAGGGGATGCATCTTTAAAAACCTGACTTCCCACCACCTCCCTCTGCATTGCTGAATTTCTGGCTCTGTTCCATTGCAGATGCTGTTCCCTGTGCTTCTGGCCACACAGGGCACTGCTGGGGCTCTGTACTGTGTGGTCATTTCTTCTCTGGGTTTGCTCAGTGGCCCCTTCTGTGATACAGGCAATGGAAACTACACCTACCCTTTCAGGAACAACACCCTGGAGTGAGTAGCATTCACGGTCTTGGGTCAGTGTCCAACATCTAATGATACAGCTGATGACCACGAAGAGCGTGTGCTCTTGGTATTGACTATCGAGCAATGGGGCCAGGTACTTCCCTTCATACCTAGGGTCTTGTTCCTCTCTCCATACCTGCTCCAAAATCAACAATCTCTAGGAGGTGATTGGCCAAGGCAAGGAGTGCCCATGACTTAAGCAGTCCACCCAAGATATTCAATACAATACCTTGACTTCATTAGCCCCAATTATTAAACTCAATTGAGTATGTGCTGAGGGACTGCTTAGTACTGGTGTGATAAGACACAATCCATCTATTTTCAAGGAGCTCACAATCTAATTGGGGAGACTTAATTACCAAACATGAAGTTGCATAAATATCCTGAATGGCTGGGCCCTATGATACATGTTTTTTTTCCTAAAGGAATACGGAAAGAAACCCAGCATCCATTGATTGAGAAAGACCCTGCTTCTCTTCCCATTTCCTGTTCTCTCCCTGGCAGATCTCACCCACCCCCAAAGCTTTCAGAACTGTCTGTCTATCTATGTAAATAATCCCCAAATATCATTCTCTAGCCTAGATCTTTCTTCTGAATTCTTGACCCAAACATCTAATTACCTTCTTGAAACTTCATCTTGAACATCGTATACCATTCAATATTAATATGTCCAAAACCCGTGATGTCCCCATATATCTCCTCTCTCAGTCATCCCCATCCCAATAGATGGCACCTAAAACCTGTGTCATCTTTGACTCTTCTTCTTTCTCACTTCCCACATTCAATCCACCACCAAATCCTGTCAATTCTACCTCGACAACATATCTTGAACCCGACCACTGCTCTTCACCTAGTCTTTCATCACCCCATTCCAAATCTCCAATGCCCCGGCTGGCCCTGTGGCCGAGTGGTTAAGTTCCTGCGCTCTGCTGCAGGCGGCCCAGTATTTCATCAGTTCGAATCCTGGGCGCGGACATGGCACAGCTCATCAAACCACGCTGAGGCAGCATCCCAAATCTCCAATGCCCCTTTGCCTCTGCTCCTCCAACAGCCCTCCAACAAGCATCCCACTTCCATTTTGCCCTTCAATCCTTTTGCCATAGGTTAGCCAAAGGGGTTTTTGTAAAATGTAAAAGTACTGATAAGGCCAAGAAATCTTTGCATGTAAGGAACCTGCAGTCTCACTGGGAACTCAGAAACGGATATGGCTATGGGTGAAGGTAGAGATAGAGGCAGAGATATCAAATAATAGATGGCCCTATGAAATACAGCCTGAAAACCTATTCCATTTTCTCCTTGCCCAACTGGTACACTGACTCCAAATTTCCCTTACGGTTTTTGCCTACACGCTGTTTCTTCTTACACTTCACTGCTCTCCTCTCTGCTGCTGCCTCCTTCAAGGCCAGGTGACTCCAGATTTCCCTGTGAAGCCTTCTCCAGCTGCTCGACACCTCTAGACTTCCTCTTTCTACAATAATAATTATGATGTAACTCAAATGTATAGCAGGCACTGTGCTAATATCTTATGTAATCGTCCTAACCACTCTATGGTATTGATGCTGTTTGTAACCCCATTGGACATATAAGAAATCTGGTGTACAGAAATATTTAGGAAACTTATGTAGAACTTCTTAGTGAGAGAAATGGAATCAGGGTCTGAGTCTGTGGGACTTGGGAATCCAAGCTCTTAACCACTTCTTATTGCCTCCGAAACCTTTACAGCAGTAAAAATCTCATGTCACACAATTTCCCTCTTCTTCATATGCTCCCTTGTGCAGCAATGTCTGTAACCCTAGTGCCTTGCTGAGATGTTGGGCTATTAGAGCAAAAGATGGTGTGTTCAACGCTCCCACCAATGGGCAATAAGGAATCTGCTGTCTTTATGAAGACGAGAGCAGTAAGACCCTTGCGCTTTGTCGTCTCCTGCATTAGGCTAGTGCTTCTCACATGCTTACAAGTAGCAGCTCCCTTCCTTTACGGTCTCTCAAAACCAGGCTAATTTTCTCCTCTGTCCTGGCAGGGACAGCTACTTATTCAACCAGCCCACCTGGGCCGCCTGCCAAGAGCCTGAGCAGATCGTCCTCTGGAACGTAGTCTTGTTCTCCATCCTCCTGGGAATCGGCGTGGTGGAAGCTGTGCTTTGCCTTAGCCAAGTCATCAGTGGACTCTGTGACATCTTCTGTGGCACCTGTGTCCGAAAAGGACAGGTCAGTGCTTCTAGAAGCCGGGAATTTTCAAGTCACTTCCCCCTGACCTGTTCCTCACATCTCCCTCCTGCCCCAACCCCTGACTCCCAGAGTAATCCAGTCACTAGGAAATGCCTTTTGAAACGTAGAACTTCATTCATCACTTTGAGCTTAATTTTCTTCCAGGTGAACATAACCGGCTTATGACCAGCCTTAGAAATCACAGCTGATTGAGAGACGAAGGAGAGTTGCCCAGGTTCAGAAGGACTGGAGTTCCGAGAGGCTGAGAAAAAAGCTCCCAACTTTCTTACCAGGGTAGATTTTTATAAAGGGACCACAGTTTTGACCTTTGCTAGAATCAAGATTGCTGTTTCCCTGAACTGATCTCTAAGAATGATGTAAGCCATCATAGGGCTGTACAAAAATAAAATTTTTTAAAATAATAATATGATAATAGATGCTTAAATGTATTCAGTTGTTACTGTATCGCAGGCCCTGTCCTAAGCACTGTATCTACGTTATCTTAGTTCATCTTATAAAGCAAGTAGCATTATAAAGCCCTCTTACAGATGAGGAAATTCAGGCTCAGAGAGGCTCAGTTCCTTGTCCAAAGTCAGCGAATCTGAGTCTTGAACTTGAGCCTGGTTCCAACACTTATATTCTTCACCACTCTCCAGCGGGTCTCAAAATTTATCACTTAGACACTGGTTCCAAGGATTGTAATAAGTGCTGTTCATTTACAAAAAAAGCAGTGGGGGAGGCTCCGTGGTCAAATTAATTTGAGATACACTGGATTAAAGAAACTTTAATAGGTTTCTTTACTGCAGGACTTGTCAGAACCTTTACAAAGCCAATGTGCATTGCTAATCTCCAGGAAGAGAACAGGCGAATGCACAATTCCCCAGTCTTATTTGATGACCAAACCCTTTTATCCTGGAACAGTTTTTATAGATTTAATATTCCATGGAAGATCCTTTGAGAAATACTGTGTGACTCAGTGATGAGGAAGAAACTACCTCACTCAACCCATGAGAATCCAAGAGACTTTTCCAAACCACCAGAGAAGCAGAAAAATATGGGATGAAATAGGTTAAGGATTTCTCACCTGTGCTAAAAAAAAAAAAAAAAAAGTTTTGCTGTAATAGCTGGAATTAGAAGTTTTCTTTTCAGGCTTCTTTACTGTTATTGCAACAAACATTTTTGAGAACTCAATCTACTGTACAAGCTACGGCAGTTCCCAGAGAGGCATCCAGGAGGGTCCCTGCCTCAGGAAGCTTGCAAACTAACAGATCCCATACACCTGACTGCTTCCATAGATGATATCCAGGGCCTCTGCTGCCCCATATGGCGCCTGTGTACAAATTAGAAAAAAAAGCAGAGGCTACAGCTTGGCAAATAGAGCAAATGTTTAAAAGGCACCTTCTCCTCCAGGTTGATGCAGCCTGTCTGTATTGGGTTGAATAATGTCCCCCCAAAATTCACATTTAATAGAAACCTCAGAATGTGACCTTATTTGGAAATAGGGTCTTTGAAGATGTAGTTAGTTAAGACGAGGTCATACTGGATTCTGGTGGACCCTAAATCCAACACGACCCATGTCATTATAAGAAGAGAAGAAATACGTGCACGAAGAACAAGGTCATGTGAAGGTGGAGGCAGAGATTGGAGTTATGCTGCCACAAACCAAAGAATGCCAAAGATGGCCAACAGCCACCAGAAGGGAGGACAGGATCATGGAACAGACTCTCTCTCGGAGCCTCCAGCGCCCAGCGGACACCTTGATTTAGACTTGTAGCCTCCAGACCTGCGAGGGAGTAAATCGTTGTTGTTTTAAGCCACCCAGTTGGTGGTAGCTGGTTACAGCAGCCCTAGGAAGCTCATACACAGTCCCCGACCAGGGCGCAGGCAAGCAGGGCGCAGGCTGCAGCTCAGCCCCATCACTCATCTGGACACGCTCCCTTGTGCATGAACAACCTACTCAGCTGAACAGCGCCGCCCTGCTGGTGTCACGAACACCCAACTGCCCTGCTCAGCCAGACTGTTTCTTCAGCTTCCCTCTAGCTCTTCCACTGACACGCGCTCAGACACACAATTCCCGGATGAGAGATGTACGAGCCCGACACTGCGATAGGACCCGAGATTGTTCCTTAGCCTTGACAGCCCTGAGGTTGTCATCCCCGGTGAGGAAACTGGGCTTAGGGAGGGGACGTCTCTAGAAGAGTCGGTCCACCAGATAGAATGGCTCTGTGTGGCCCCAATCCTGTTTCCTGGGAGGGGAAAAAAAAATCCAAAGCAAAAAGTTTTATTAGCTTTTCCCCATTATAATACCCTGTGTGTAAAGTGATGAATTTGAAGCAAGGGAGGAGAAAGGTTTTCTGCGTCTAGCAAAAGTCCCTCTTGTGGTTGTTCCTTTGGTGAGTAAAAGGAACTCGCTGTTAAAGACACCAAATTACAAACATTCGGCGGCCAATAAAGTGGGCGGAGGCGGTGCTGAGCTGCCCTGGGGCGGGGCCCCAGCTCGTAAAGGCGGCAGGGTTAGGCGAACGCGCTCCATCAAGGGCTTTGGAGACCGGGAAGAGCGCCACCAACGTTTGAAACGTGGGGCCGACCATAAAATGATTCATGATTAACCCACTAAAAAAGTATTTATTGCCAAATAGAAAAGAGCTCCCTGAAACTAAGTAGAAACAGTTGATTTTTGAGGCTGACTTAGGTCTACTCTTCAGCAAGATGACAATTATTTTCTGAGTTCCTACAGTGGGCAAAGCAAAGTGCCTGGAGAAAGGAGGGACGGGAGGGCTCTCGGTTCTGGAAGAAAGGGAGGGTGGAAGCAGAGGGAAAAATCTCAGCGCACGAGCGCCCAGCTGTGAGGCAGAAACGAGGGAGGTGGTAATTTCCCCGTCAATCTCCGTGGCCTCAAGCCTATCTCATCTTTTCGAATTCGTTATACTCTCAAGAGAAACCACATGTTTTCCAGGCCAGAGCTGACTGACTTTTTTTTTTTCCCCAAACACATATTCTGAATGTTTTAAATTGTTTTTACTGCAGGATACAGCTATGTTTGTATAATATGATACACACGCTGTTGGAAATGGGAAGAAAATAGCTCCCCGGAGTGACTTTAGAAATTCTTTCCATTTTACTCTTTACGCTTTGCTATAGTATAACAATTTCTACCTTTTCTGGAATAAGCCAGAATGACTCTTATAATGATAAAGATGTGTGAAAACATTGATTTTGCCATTTTGTGAAAACCGCCAGAAGACTTTAGCTGCCTGTCATGTCTGATGACACGCTCTTGCAGGTTTGACACCAACTTCAGAGGGACTTCGTGGTTCAAAGGCCCATTGGCAAACCAACATTTAGGGTTTCTTCCGAGTCAAATGGGCAGAAAATAATTTTAAAAGAGGGAGAAGCAGTATGGGGAGTGGAGGGAAAAAAATGAAGCTAACCTGAGTAGCTTTGGAAAATTTAGAAAAAGTTATTTTGGCTAAAAAACTAAGGCTAAAGTCAAAGAGAATTGTCTATAAACACTGCACTCTACAGTTGTTTCTCATGGAGGTCTGAGTTAACGATTGTGAAACTGCTGTGCGTGTATCATGGGGTTGAATGGTGGATGGTGGGGGCCAGGTTTCTCACTATTGGAGAAAGAAGTTACAGATAGGCAAGGAGGCAGGGCTAGAAAATCCATGTAGTCCTGGATTAAAGTCAAGAACATCGCTATAAACTCATTTTTGGCTTAATATGGATACAGATGGATAGTCACCAAAATGCAGATGTGTGTGTATAGGCGTGGGTTATTATACAGACATCTATTTCCTAGCTCTGTTTGCTGAGAGAGCTAGAAGCAATGAGACCCTATTAGCAATGGGCACAGCCAGTGCTCATTATTATTATTTATTAAAAACTAATTTGTTTTAAATTTACAATTTTATGAAATTTATTGTTATTTAAAAAGAAAAGAAAAAGAGGAAAATGGCTTTCCTTGACTAAAAGCCTTTTAGCCTCCGAACCTAGCCAAGCAGCAGTCTAGCTAACCCCCAAATCACCCATATTGGAGACAAACTCAGCTAGCTATTCCTGTGTCTGAGTATCATTGCCTCTCTGTAGTGAGCAGTGGCCTTATCCACAGATTTGGCCTTTTCCTCCAAGGCAGTTTGCTGAGAGGGGGTCTAAAGAAATAACATTTGTCACAGAGACAAGTGCCATGCCACCTGACCCCTGATAAAAAGGCACTTCAGCCTTAAAGTGACCAAGAACATGGGTTCAGGAATCCAACAGCAGAGTCTGATGGGTTCCTTTGTACTGGGTGTTTTCTTGCCCTACTACACGCTGTCACATGCCCCCATACCCTTTTACCCTCCATACAAACAATACTCTGAGAATAATTGATTTGTTGCATGCCTCTGGTTTGAACTAGGTTCCCCCTCCACTCCCTGAATATATATCCGTCCCTGCACCCATCTTGCTGTCCACATGCATGTCGGGATCCCTCGACCCGGCTGTGATGCAAGATCACCTTATTCATCTGTCTCCCCAGTGCCCAGAGCATGATAGGCTGTCACTAAATGTTTAGCGAATGAATGAGTGAATGTTCCAAATCTGCAAAGGGGCTCAGGAATTGTAATTATACAAAGCAGTTTATACAGACTGAATGCACGGCTCTTCAAAAACTCAGCTTCCTTCTTTTTCTCTTCCTCTCTTTCATCACCCTGGCCCAGACATGGAAGTTCCCAAAAGGAAATAAAGCCAATTCTGAGCAGAGTTTCATTTTGCAACTGTAGTCAAAATGTACTCTGCTCCTCACCACCCATCAGCTGGGGTTTAAATGAAGTTCTCAGTATGGGCCACGCTGTTCCAGATGCAGCATTGTGATATTATGATTTATAATAAGAAATAGATGTTTTGGTTTTCCTCCATTTCTGGCACAGGCTTCCTGAAACCCTTGGAATTTCCTAAGTGAGATAAAGGTGTTTTTTTATTATTAATCACAAGCCCCTTTCAAACCACACCTGAGTTTGCATTAATGAGGTGACTTTTGGAAAGCTCCCAGGATGGGGGCTGGTTGCCAGGGGAACCAACCAGGATTAGAGGATTGGAACTTTGAGCCCCCGCTCCCACCTCCAGCCTCCAGGGAGGGAAGAGGGGCTGGAGGTTGAGTTCAGTCACCAATGGCCAATGATTTAATCAATCATGCCTATGCATTGAGGCCTCCATAAAGACCCTAAAGGACAGGGTTCACAGAGCTTCCGGTTGATAAACACAAGGAGGTGCTGGGAGAGCGGTGCGCCCAGCAAGGGCTTGGAAGCTCCGCACCTCTTCCCCGTACCTTGCCCTGCGCATCTCTTCC